TATTCAGAGTATTAACTTCAGATAAGATAGACTACTCTAAATAAGATTGTCATCCAAACCAACCCTAAAGTTGCAGGTAAAGAGGTGTCGTCAAGAATGGAACATTAATCTCTTCCAAGGAGTCATTCATGATTTAGAACCTTTCAATTCCATTAGCCCTGCATTGTGTAGAGAGTGGGAAATAATGCCATTTGTTCTTCTTTCTACCATTAACAATGCAGGGTTAATAATTGTTGATAAAATTGTCATATTGGACACAACCTAACATTTGGTTGCCTAAGCATTTGTTTTCCATATTATGACTTCGGAGCATCTAATAACTGATTCTTGGGTTTGAGTCATCGTTGTAAGTGGGAGTGGAATGTGGTGGGAAACCAATTACACAAGAAATGAAGGTGGGAACTAGTATGAGCTCATCTCCAATTATGTTTGGACTGTGTTTCAATTATGTTCCACCAACATTTCCTGTGCTTCACATTTCACACTCTATACTTCTATGAAGTCCCCCCAGATCCATTACATTCCTCTGACTTTGCCAGGTGTTTCTATCAGGGTTGGTATCTGCTTCCAGTGATCTCCAAATACTTTCACAAGCGAAACACTCCCCATGCAATTCCTATAGTATTTCATTGCATTTTCCACTATCTTACATATATGTTCTCATTTTCCAAATCATGTATGATTCCAGCAACTTCTTTCTTGCAAACCTCGGCCAAATCATTTCAAACCAATGCACATATCATTTGTGTTCTTCTGGTTACACGGTGTTCATCTTGTCGACTTTGAACTATATTCAACAAAAGGGGTCAATCTTTGTGGCCATTTTGCTTCTGGCTGTCTTATGCATGGGCTAGAGAAGGCTATCAAAAGGGAGAAAAATACTCAATGTTTTGGGGCTAGAGAAGGCCACCAAAGGGAGAGAGAGGCTTCTTTTTTTTTTTTGAGAGAAAATACTCGAGGCTTTTCGTTTGTATCTCCAGGCTGAACAGGTCCTGTGGAGGCCAATCTATAATAAATCTCTCACCTACAGTATGAATTATGAAATTGTCTGCTTGGATCACTTCTATTATATGTGAAGTACTGAATCATTTGTTCCATGTGGTCAAACTGTTGTCTCAAGAATATGATCTTTGGGGAAAATAGATACAAAGTAGACACCTTTGAAGTCAATGCATGAAGCTGATATGATGAGGGGCCCATGTTTATCGGTAAGAGGATCATAACATCAAGTCACTCTTGGGAGTTTAGCAAATATTGTTTTCTTTTAAGGCAAAGGAAGAAGAATATAACAGACAAAACCAAGTACTATCAAATCAAGTTGTTTCTCAGTTGAATGTTGAATAGAAGAAATCCTATGCAAAATTGCAGTGCTCATGTTAATAAGATGAGTTGCACAGCAAAAGATAGCTTAATCTTCGAGAATGGAAGGAACCTTAGAGAAAAGAAATAAACAGAAGTTCCCAGATGAGTCCCATTTTTTGTCGGTGAATGTCATTTGATGTGAGTACAAGGCTCAATGAAGTGCATCCTTAAGTATTCATCAAACTTTGTAGACAAGAGCTCTCCACCAGAATCAAATTGAAGCATCTTGATGGACCTCATAAGTTTCTACCATTTCGTGAAGGTAACATCATCATCATCATCAGAGCCTTTTCCCAACTATTTGGGATCGGCTACATCAATACTGATCCACCATTCTGCTCTATCAATGGCCATACCCTCGAAGAGGCCATAAATCCCCATATCTTTTCTCACTACTTCCAACCATATCCTATTGGGCCTACCCCTTGCCCTTTTTTAGCCTTCCACTTGAATCAACTCACACCTCCTGATAAGTGTTGTATTGGGTCTGTGCTGCACATGACCATCCCACCTAAGTCTACTTTATCTCATCTTATCACCTATTGGAGCCACACCTAAGTTCCCCCGAATATATTCATTTCGAATTCTATCCCTTCTTGTCTTACCACTCATCCATTTCAACATCCTCATCTCAGCCACTCTCATGCTATGGATATGTTGTTTCTTCACCACCCAACATTCCACCCCTTAAAGTAAAGTTGGCTCATAGCTGTCTTATAGAACTTTTTTTTTTGTGGAAAAGTTAACTAGCTGTCCTATAGAACTACCCCTTCAACTTCATTGATATGCGGCGATTACATAGAACTCTGGTTGCACATCTCCACTTTGCCCACACAGGTCTAATTCTATGTACGACATCTTCTTTAATCTCCCCACATTTCTGAATTAAAGGTAACAAATACATAAAATACTCTGATAAATAATTGACTAAATATAATTGTGTATCATCAAAAAGGAGCTCCATAAACTTAACTCACTGAAGAAAAGACAAGATATGCCCACATAAAAAAGAACAATATCAAAAGAGAATGTTTTTTACTTACAAGGAAACAAAGAGAAGAGCTGACTGTTTCACAATCTAGAGCTGACACGATCCAAACACATTATTATAGGTCTTGGAGGAGAGGACACAATAAACTACCTAAAAGATATTACACAGGAAGATGAAGACATTGTGATGTCCTAAAAATGCTAGGACTGAATAAATTGCTAAATGGAATCAACAGAACACATAAGGCAGTGGATACCAATTTTAATGGATTGTTCCACGCAATAACCCAACTCAATGGCCTCTCCCACCAATCTTCATTTGTTATTAGATCCTGAATACATCAAACAAATAATGGAGAAACTAATAGTTTTTAAAAAGGAATTCCTAATCTTAAACAAGTCCCATAGTGAAGTTCAAATGTGATAAAGATCGCTAGGAAAATTACAAAAAGAAAAAGAAAGGAAGGAGTTTATAGATGTGATAGAAAACCTATTTTATTGCAGTTAAAGAGAAGTCAATAGCCACATAGAGTAGAGTGACCTGTAAAGGACAAGAATACGATAGGACACTAGCAGAACTATATGATTTTAAGTACCAAAGTCTATATAATCCACAACGCTTTAGAACACAATGGATATACATGTCAAGGAAGTACCAAGGGCTATATAACTTTCTAAATATAATTCCACGGGCTCAAAACAAACAAACAAACAAAAGATAAAAAACGAAGCATTTCTTGAAAGAACAAAACAAATGATAATTAAACAACCAAGAGAGTTTGCATTTATTTGCAACAGAATCATTTCACAAGAGTCGTGCATTTCCATTGATGAACAACAAGAACACTTTATTCCAGGACATCAAGCAAATACACAATTTGATAATCACATTCCTATGGAGAATGACCCATAAGATTTCACATGGAGAATGAAAAAGAACTTCCACACACGACCCAATTTCTAGACATGGTTGTATAGGCAGGACACAACCATAAAGCCAACCAAATTTTGAACAGATTCATATCTGTACACACTGGACACATGGCCACACTATCCATCGCAGATGTTGGCTAGCATGGAACAAACACATGGAGATATGGATTTACAGCAATAAGAAGAACCACAGAAGCTACCAGTTTTCCTTGACGATTTTTGACTTCTCGAGAATGTACTTCCCTTCTTTATACTTTTGGGTTTCTTCGTAAGCTCTCTCATATTTCCAGCCCAACACCTCTCGGCACTCGCAGCATGAGATATCGGCAACTGTGTGCAAACCAGTCATGAGGTGGCGGTCTTCCTTTGGCCCTATGATTATATTCATTGCATGGCCAAACAGAAAGGCACGCCCATTTCTTCCCTGGCAAAGTGGTAGGAAATTCAGTTCCTTCCATTAGTGTCTTAAACATAAATTCAATTTCAAGGTAAAATTTCCAGTTCCCACAATGAAAAACAAACACTGGTTCGCTTTCAAAGGGGCCAATAAGCGGAAGCAAGATAATCAACAGAGCATGAGAAACATTGAGACTCCCAACTTTTCTAATCAAAGGGCACAAAAGGAAGAAAGATTAGTAAATACTGATGGATGAGTTTTTTGTTATTGCAGAGCACCTAGAAATCAAAGCATAATTCCATTAAGTACGTCACCGGAGATCCTAAATTTAACATCAACCATCAAAAGAGAATCAAGAAGAGAGAATATTACTTCATGCAAAATTTCAAATCAAAACAAAGTGAAGCACGAAGGTCAGAAATACCTGGAAAGCTTTAGAAATTATGTCATCATGAAAAGAAACATTGTTTCGACAATTACAGCAACTGTATATTCGAGGCCCAACTAATTCTGCCATCAAAACTGCTCCAAACCACACAAAGAAACCTAATCACAATAAAGAAGCAAAAGTTACACTAAACCCACTTCAAATATCCACTTCAAAAACCATAATTCAGCAAGATAGTGGCTAAAGATGGACCTGAGGAGACAAGGTGAGTCTTGCTTCTCACAGAATCGACCCTTTCTTGGAGAGAACACCCACTGTGGCCCTTTACACAATCCCCGTATTGCAAGAACCCTAATGATTGGCGGTTGTTTTCTTAACTCAGGATTCAACTTTAGATTAACAATTTGCAAAGGGGTAACGCCAATGGTCAGGGCAAAAGAATCGACGAAAAAGACTTGAGAGAATGGGTCATAAGGATATAGAAATGGGAAAAGAAGCTCTCTGTGGTCCTGAAAAAGACAACAGGTACATAGAAAAGTAACAATCAGAAGATTAAAGACGAGAAATGAAAGAGAAACACGCCATATCTTTCATCGATGTAAAAACCCAATATTTCAACTAAAAAATAGAGGGAATCAAAAGAGAAAAGGGTCTGTTTTCTCTCTTAATGTACCCAAATTCCCATAGAGAGGAAAAAAACAAATATCCCATCTTTTTATATACTTTGTTCCTCTCTCTAAACACCCAAAACACCATGTAAAAAACACAGAGCATAAGACAGAGAGTGAAAAAACAAGAAACCCATTGCATATATACTATTCTCTCTCTAAGCACCCAAATTTCCACACAGTACACTGAAAGTTCTGTGCAACGACGACTGGTTAAAAGTAGACAAAACCATACACACATTTATTATGCAAATATTATGATAGGATATACCACAATTCACTTAAGAGTTTAATGGAAAATGATGCGGATCTGACCTGTATTGTACAAGAACGGATGAAATTTATCCTGGGTTATAAGTGTAAATATATATACATATATATATATATATATATATATATATATATATATATAAAGCGAAACTCTAATGCCGCACCTACCCCAAAAGAAAAATAAAAATAAAAAATAAAAAATAAAAATATCGTCTAATGCCTTGCTTGTTGCTTGGGTCAAGTGACTTTAAAATGGCTTTCATGTGATTCAAATGCGTGAAAAAGAAGCCTGGTAAAAGTAACAGAAAAGCTAAGGTACTTGCCCAAAAAAATTTAAGGTCAATTCGCATCAGAACTCTTTGCAATAATTAGGGCTAGGTTTTCTTGCCTAATTCCCTAGCTTCTGATCATGGACATGAAAATGCCTTTGCTTTCGCACCAAACCTAATTCCTCTGCTTGTGATCATGGACATTTGAGAAAAGCCATGGTTTTTATTTCAACGACAAAGTTAGGTGAACCAAATCACCAACCAGTTCGCATAAAAAGATGCAATTATTAGGGTTAAATTCTGGTTTGGGTTCGTCCTGATGCTTTCAGCTTCTAATCATGGACGTAAAATCGCTTGCAAAATTTAGAAATTTTCAAGTGCAAAACTCATGAAATATGCACAAAAACCAGTTCCCAGTGCTTATTGTGAAATTAGGTTAGGGTTTTCCCAAAAAATCTTCACTTCAGATAATTTCACAAGAATGGATGCAGAAAGATTAGGGTTTTGCCTCAAACTGACCTGGTCGAATGCAAAATTAATAAAACTCTCAACATGATTAAGGGTTCTCTGATCATAACCAAGAAATTAGTTCAAGAAATTAGGGTTTCGAAGCAAACCTAGCCTCTCTAGAGAGAGGATGAGAGAGAGAAGTCCAGTAGTTTACTCAAGCTCAAGGTCTAAAACATGCTTCCTCTGACTCAGAATAAGATCTCACCCTTCATTAAATGGCTTGTTTCGTTTGTTAAGCTAATCAAATGCCACGTGTCAAAGCGGGGATCCAGAGTCACTGCTTAGTCTGCAGCAGCATAATAATGCGCACTAGTAGTATCCAAGACAATTGAGCAAGGGAGTGTGTACTATGATCCATGGACAATAGAGATTATATAGTCATGCGTGGCGTCGTTACAGAATCAATGGATGGATGGTGATAGAGCGAGAGAGGGACTTGGCACTCTCTCTTTGCTGCTGTCGATTTAGTAGACGGTGATGACACTCTTTTTGCTATTGTAAGTTTATTACACAGTCATGGCATGTAACATCATAGTGTCTGTATGATCACATGATCATAACACATTTTTTAACATGTTAATGGCAGAAATGGCACATTTTTTCACATGTTAATGACATAAATGGAAGTTTATATATTAGTGTGACACCGTCACCCTCACCACCCAAACCAAAAGTCCAGTCTTGCATGATTGTAATATGTTATGAGCGGGCCAGGTGGCTTGTCTTGTGTACAAGGGGAAAGCCTTATGTGCAAAGTTAGGGCTCATCTAAAGTGGCTCAACGGGCCCGGCTTAGCTCGGTCCTATGTTCAGTGGTCACAACCTTCTTAGCTCTATTGGCTTTGCCAAAGAAGAAAATTGTTCCATACCCGCCCCACTTATACATAGATCTTATAGACCATTTTATAAAACAGATCGATGACCCAGATCACCCCGGCCCAATTTAGAAGATCGGTAGTCCGCATCGGGGATAAGGCCAAAAGAATCGACCAATAAAAATTCAAAAAAATAAAAGTGGGGCCAGCCATTTCATAAAGGGAACCCGGAGATTCTTGATATTTAGCAGGAACTGGGTTGGGTTGACATACTCCCTATCTAGATCGGCCAGTTCCAGTCTGAATCACCATTTTTGCTGTAGATTATAGCCCTTGAGATTGTGCTTGTCCATTTTATATACTAAAGGGCAGCACATTAGTCTCGCTTCTTGTAAAATGGTGGTGGCGAGGTATTTTAGTTTTTAATACATGCAACTAGATCAAGGGGTGACAACGGGTCAGGTCAGGTCCGACACAACCCAAATCCGGGCTGGAAAATTTTTTTTATGGGACCCAAAATCCAAACCCGAAGTTATCGGACCTAGACCTGACTGTACCCAAACATGTACCCTACCCAAAAATAAAAAATATAATATTATGTTAAATAAATATAATATCGGATCCGGTCGTTGGATCCCGGGTCCATTGCCATCCCTAGTCTAGATCTCCGAGCCGATGTTTTAAAACTCAGAAGCAAGTTTGAGTTGGTCACCTGCTGAACTAGGTCTCGACCATTTAGATCGGTCTGATAAGTTTGAGGGTAGTGATCTAATGCAATAGTTGTATCATAGTATAATGCAACTACATTTATAGAAAAACCATGTTTGCGGTATTGGTATGACCCAAATTTTATAATGCAACCACACTTATATGTATGACCTAAAATTTTACACATACACACACTCTTTTCATTTCAATAATAAATAAATAAACCTATTTTTCAACCTATATATATTCAAAATGAGTCCCCTCCAACAGTGAATCTAGATCATCCACTTGATTAATTTCAAGATCTAGGCCTTTATGAATTCAAAATCATTTTAGTTTTATATAATGATAATAAAGTTATATAAATATTTGGAAAGAAAAAAAAAAAATTTCTAAAGCCTAAATCTAAGCATCTCACCAAAATGGACGGCTTACCGTCCATTTGATTAATTTCAATATCTAGGCCTTTATGAATTCAAAATCATTTTTTTTTATTTTTTAATAGTGCTAATATAATGATAATAAAGTTATCTAAAATATTTGGAAAGAAAAAAAAAAATATTTCTAAGACCTAGATCTAAGCATCTCACCAAAATTGACGACTTATGTTAATTGGGCTAAAAAAATACTTTCTAAATTGCATTTTCGAATTTTTAGAATGAAAAGAGCGTATATTTTAAATTTTGGATAAAATAAATGGCCCTAACATGATTTTTTTGCATATTGTTGCATTATATTTCTATACAACCGTTGTATTAGATCACTACCGTATGTTTGATGTGTAGAACGACATAACATAAAAAAAAGAAAAATAAAACCATAAGGAGTCGAGCGGGTTTCCCTAGACTTGCATGACCACTCCTTCACCAACCACTTCCGGGTCCAACACGGCTCTATTCTAGTTCCACCCATTGATTTTTAGTGCAATTCTCTCATCAAAACAGTATGATATCCATTTTGCATCATTGGATAAAAAAGTTGTAGTGCTATTTTCTTTTCTCTTTTTCTTTTTTTATATTTTTTTTTATTTTTTCTTTCAGTGAATGATTATTCTATCAATATGAGTGTTTTATGTCCGATAAATTCCCAAATGCTCGTTTTGAAACCATCGCTATTAATGTAGTGGTAGAAAAAGTATATTGTTGTGCTTGGACTTCAAACTTTAGTTTTGACCATACACATGGTCCTACGTTATTGGATTCGTCAATAAAGAATCAAATTTGCTTTACAATTAGTAAAGGAAAAGCTTTCTATATTTCCTACAACATAGAAATTCTATGTTCCCCTATCCAACCGTCCATTTTTTAATGGAGGACTAAGATTGGCCCAATCACAATGTCACGTCTTTACACTGTTTTATTTTAAATTTTTTTTCTATAAACTGTTTTGACACTAAATTTTGGATCCCCATTCCTCTATTAAACTCACACTAACGAAAAATATAAAAAAAATATTTTTCAATAAAACAAAACGACCAAAATACCCTTAAAAATTCAAGGGGTATTTTGGTCATTAGTTTTTATCAAAAAATTGTTGTTAAAATTTTTTTATAGGTGCGCCCCAATGAGAAGTTGATGTACCAAATTTCATATTAAAAAAAATTATATTAAAAAGACTAAAAATAAAATACTTTGAAGCATCAGATCTAAGACCAAACAATGAGTGGCTCTCTTGATAAAAAATAGATGGCTAGATGGTAGGGGGAACATAGAACTTCTATGTTGTAGAGGGAACATAGAAAGCTTTCCCATTTGTAAAAGAGGAAACATTTCCGAAAACAAAATCAAGTCAACCTATCGTGTTTATAATAAGTGTGTGCTTTGTATAAGGCTTAGCTTAAACAATCAAAGTAAGGCGCACTTATAAATAATGTCGAAAGATGTTGTTTTATTACTAAAAATATTTATGATTGCTTGAAAGATTATTTTTATCTTTAATTATAAAATTTAAAGCTGCAAAAATAGTATAGATTAAGCAGATCTATTAACATTTAAAAATTGACGGTCCATAAATATAATACAAATTGTACTATTTTTAAGACTTGAAAACCTATTTTTCTCGTGTCCATACATTTTAAAGTCGAGATGTTCAATTTGAGAACTTTTGAGCATCAGAACAACCTCTCAGTGAATTGAATTTTTGATATGTGCCTTAATTTGATTGTTCCAGCCTCACCTTTACATAAGCTTTTTTCTTATAATAATGGTTAATCTTATAACAACGGGGCATCGTTGTCCCCGAGGGGTGCTATAAGTCACGTCTAATCGCCCGTATTCACAGTGGTTTAGTTGAGCCAAGCCAATCTGCACCGTCAATCTGTGGGCCCAATTGATCTCCACCGTCACACAAGAAAGCGTGTCTCTTACATAAGAAAGTGTTACGCCTAAGTCATACGTTAATTAATCATGGGCATCTTCATAATTTCCCAAAAATGTATCAAATTGAAAAGGATATATTATTATTGTTGTTTGCCTCCTTCTACACATCCTAAAAAAAAAAGAAAATATTATTTTTCTTGACATGTTAACGGTGGGAACGGAGGATGGGACGTTATGTCGAGGCATCGGCCCTATAAGGCCTTCACGTGACAATAATGTAGGCCCTTTATTGCCATGAAGAGTCAAAGAATCCGTCAATTGTTCGAAATTCAAATGAGAGTCCTACCATTTCCATTACCCCTCGCAAATGAG